AGAATGCGGCCTTTCCCACTCCCGGCTCTTCTGATGAAATGGAAAGTGAAATGCCAGCTTTGTTTTCCCACACGATTTGGGGATCTTAAAGGAGGAAAACAAGACCCCACCCCTGCCCTTTTTGTGCGATTTCCTTAACAGGGGGGAAAAAAAACCCCACCATAAAGCATGCTTGGTAGAATCTTAAAGTGTCGATGTTGTCTTTTCATTGCTTTTCTTTTCTTTTCTTTTTTTCTTATTTCATTCTCTTGGGTTGTTTCTGCCTTCAGTGTCAGCTGACCGGAGTCATTTGGAATGAAATGGCCTCTAAATTGTGAAGGGGGAAATGACACCCCATCCCCACCCCTGCTGGCCTCCCAGAAGGCCTTAAAACCTACACAGACACACAGACACACAAACACACACAGACAGAGACATGTATGCTCTCCCCTGTAATTCTGTTATTAGGAATAGCCCTTAGACTTATATATTGTTTCACAGTGCTTCACAGACCTCCCTAAGCTGTTTTACGGAGTCGGCCTCTTGCCCCCAACAATCTGGGTCCTCATTTTACCCACCTCGGAAGGATGGAAGGCTGAGTCAACCTTGAGCCGGTCAGGATCGAACTGCTGGCAGTCGGCAGAATTATCCTGCAATACCACATTTTAACCACTGGGCCACCATGGCTCTTAACCCTAGCACTTAGACTTGTAGGCTGCATCACAGACCTCTCTAAGCAGTTTACAGCCTCTGGCCCCCAACAATCTGGGTCCTCGTTTTACCAACCTTAGAAGGATGGAAGGCTGAGTCAACTTTGAGCCGGTCAGGATTGAACTTCTGACTGTGGGTAGAGTTAGCTGCAATACTGCATTCTAACCACAGGGAGGGAGGGAGGGAGGGAAGGTAGGAAGGAAGATAGCAATAGCACTTAGACTTCATAGTGCTTTACAGCCCCCTCTAAGCATTTTACATAGTCAGTCTATTGCACCCAACCATCTGGGTCCTCATTTTACCCACCTCGGAAGGATGGAAGGCTGAGTCAACCTTGAGCCGGTCAGGATTGAACTGCTGGCAGTGGGCAGTCAGTCTGCAATATTTCATTCTAACCACTGCACCACCATGGCTCTTAACTATTTATTATAATTATTAGTACTATTATAAGTAATCCTCACTGAACTATGGTAATTGGGACTGGCCCTCACTAAATCACATGACTGAGCGATAGGACAGCCGACGTGGCAGTCCCAGTTGTCATTGTTAGGCAAATCCTGTACAAGCGCACTACCCCCGTGGCCATGTGATTGCCATTAATTGTGTCCTGCTGGGTTCCCTGTTTCCTTTGTTTGTTGGAACTTGGCAGCGAAGGTTGGAAATGGAAGGAAAAGAAGCATTAAACCTTATAATCTCCCATCCACACCTTCTGCCATAGCATGTCTGGCCATGTCTGCACACACCCGTTGCCATTGGCAATGACACCTGCAAGTAAAGAAATGCTTAGGATCAGATAGAATTAGGTGTTTATTCAAAAAGAAGGCTAAGTCGTAAGATTTTGGCTAAGCGAACTAGGTATGTTTTGCCTAATGAAGAGAAGGCCCAGCGGAGACATGATGGCAGTCTTCCACTATTTGAATAGCTTTCACAGGGAAAATTTGTCAATTTATTCTCTATAGCCGCAGAGGGCAGGAGAAGAAACAGTGGAGGAATTTCTTGACAGTCAGAAGTATTAATCAAGGGACTAGCTTGCCTGTTGGAGTTGTACGTGCTGCATCGTTGAAGGCGTTCAAGAAAAAATTGGACAACCATTTCTCCAGAATAGTACCAGGAAGGGGTCAAGCTATTTTCTAAAGCGCCTGTAGGCCAGACAAGGAATAATGGATGGAAACTGAACAAGGAGAGATTCAACCCGGAAATAAGGAGAAACTTTCTGACAGTGAGAATAATCAACCCAGGGAACAGAAGTTGCCCTCGGAAGTTGTGGGAGCTTCATCACTTGAGACTTTCAAGAAGAGACTGGACTGCCATTTGTCAGAAATGGTGTAGGGTCTCCTGCTTGGGTGGGGGGTTGGACTAGATGACCTACAAGGTCCCTTCCAGCCCTATGACTCTGTGGTTGCACAAAAATCTGGCAGTTCAGCCAGGTTCCTTCTCCCTTCTTGGAGGATAGATGTCTCTGTCCAGGGTGCTGAAAGGCACTCACCATCCACAATGGAATCTTGAGGAGCGCCAGATGGCTTTCACAATGGAGAATCTATCCACCAGTGTCAATCGCACAATTGTTATTAGTTGATTGTATCCTAATTGTCCTCTAATGTTGTAACATTTCCTCACAGAGGAGGTTTCTACTTCCTCCCAGTAATTTTCTCTGAATTTCTCTTGTTCTACATAAAGAAACCAAATACAGAATTAGGGGACTGGAGGCTAAAAGAATATAAAGAATAGTTGCTGGAATTGGGCATGTCTACTTAAATAAAAAGAAGGACTAGGGGAGACATGATAGAAGTGTTCCAATATCTCAGGGGCTGCCCCAAAGAAGAGGGAGTCAAGCTATTCTCCAAAGCACCTGAGGGCAGGACAAGAAGCAACAGGTGGAAACTCATCAAGGAGAGAAGCAACTTAGAACTAAGGAGAAATTTCGTGACAGTGAGAACAATTGATCAGTGGAAGGACTTGCCACCAGAAGTTGTGAATGCTCCAACACTGGAGGTTTTTTACAAAGAGATTGGTCAGCCATTTGTTTGAAAAGCTATAGAGTTTCTTGCCTGAGCAGGGGGTTGGACTAGAAGACCTCTAAGATCCCTTCCAACTCTGTTATTCTACATTCTAACTTAAAAAAACTGCAGTGATTTACTTAACAACTGTAGCAAAAAAGGTTGTAAAATGGGGGCAAAATTGACTTAACAACAGAAAGTTAAGGCTCAATTAAGTTCATAAGTTGAGAAGTACTTGCAATATCTATAGCCACATACCAGGGTTGAGTGCATGCATGCACGTTTCACTTCTTATCTTCTACAGAGGCATCTTACATAATTTCCCTTCCTGGGCTTTCAGTTATTGGTTATTTCTAATTTTTATCCTGCAATTCAAAAGAATAGGGTTCTTGAAAACTGCCTTTAATGGGCCAATTCAATTTTCATGGATATGTTCTTCCAAGGAACATTACAGCACTGGGCTTAGCTTTGCAGGGTATGTTTTATTCTGAACAAGGGTAACAAGAGACCTTTTATCGGCAAAGGGGGATGTTGTTCTAAAAACCTCTCCTACCCAAAGAGAAGCCGATCAGGAAACCATGATAGTTAGTTTGTTCACCAAACAAGGCAGATGTCTAAAGCTGTCAAATGTCAGCAGTAGATTAACTAACTAAAAACTTCAGCATATTTACTGGGTGAGGTAAATGAAGAAGAGAAGAAAAGAAAAAATATTTCATCATTCTGATCCATGTCTGTAGAGATGCTTCATCATCTAGGTCATGGCTGTCCCAACTGCTTTTTTCAGGAGGCAACTGGACTTTCTTTCTTTCTTTTTTTCTGTGAAGACGTTTTGCTTCTCATCCAAGAAGCTTCTTCGGCTCTGACAGGATAGTGGGGAAGTGTTAGATAGTGTCAGAGCTGTAGAATGGAATGGAATGGAATGGAAT